TGGAACCGTGTTGCCATTCTACTTTCTTGCCTAATTCTTCAAGAATGAGTCATTTCATCAACCATATTTATATTTTATTATCATCAAATTATTTTTATTTTCTGTCTCTTCAGTCTCATTTCATATGTACATGCTGCTGTCATTTTAGTGTATTTTAAGATGATTTCGTCATTTGTTTAGTAAACATCTCTTATAGCGGGATATTCAAACCCCGGTTTATGATTGCATCAGATAAAATGGGCCAAGTATACAGCATCAGAAACTATTTATTACCTGTAAGAATACAATTTTCATATTTTTCTTCCAGTTTTATATAATTAAGGTATAAATTAGATATTAACATAAGTAAGTAGTGTGTCTGTGTCTACAAATGAGAATCCGCAAATTATTTGCAATAATAAACTAAAATAAATCTGTATAATTAAAGGCTTCCATACGCCCATACTCTGTTTTCACTTGACAGTTGATAGCTATTGAAACATTATAAATAAATTAATAAATAAATATATATATATATATATATATATATATATATATATATATATATATATATATATATATATATATGCTGCCAATTGAAGGCGAAATTGGCACGAAAGCGCTTGGGAACTTGTGTTTCTTTTTCCTTTGTGGTTATCATATACTGGATCAATTTACAGTGATTTTATATATATATATATATATATATATATATATATATATATATATATATATATATATATATATATATATATATACAAGGCCAAGAGTGGTGACTGGTGAGGTCAATTTACTACAAGTGACAGTGAACACCACCAGGTAAGCGGCAGTCTCGGACTTTGTGGATTACTTTTCATCTGAAAATGCTGTTCATACAGTGGTGTTGGAGGTTGCTGTAAAGAAAGTCCATGTATTGCATATTTGTCACTGTCGAAATAGTCACGGCCTATAAATACTAGTAAAAATTAATTGTGCTCCTTAACATCATTAAAGAAATGGATATTTCGTTCAATGACATTAATGAAACACGCGACAAAGGGGCCCCATAGACATGGTGGCCCAGTTATTGTGTATCGAGCCATCGTGGCACACAAAGGCCGACACCGACAGTGTATTCGACATTTAACCGCCTTCCCCAATTACAGGGGGCAAATGCTTTTTCCATTCGTTCGCTGTGCATTTGCTTAATTGTACATATATTCTGCATTTGTATTTTTATCATGAATTGTGAATACCCCCTCTAAACCTCTATAACATGTTTCACAAATATCATAATTGTCAATGCATATACATTTATTTGTAGACATGTAGTGGACTCCATCCCCTACAAGGGACAACTGAGCCCCCGCGCGCCTACCAGCCAATCAGCGTACAGCCAGCGGTGCCGGTAGACCTACTCTCCAGCGCGGACGTACACGCAGCAACGCTAGGGCCAGGGTGCCGGGCCTCCTCCTCTGTGATTGGCCCTCTCGCTACGCTCACCCCAAATCCTGATCTTCGTAAATTGTATAAATACGGCCATGCCTGGACAGGGATAAGATAAAAGATGAGAGTTTTCTACTAGTTACGCAAGGACCTAATAGACCTCTCCAACTAACACAATAACTAACAACCCCTTGCTAGCTAGCTTAGCCTCCTCCCCCCCCCCCTGTTCCCTCGAGCTCGGGCGACCTCTTAGTGCGGCCTCCACCACAGCCAATCAAATCGTCTCTGCTTGGTGCATAACCCACCTGCTCTTATTCTCTAGTACTTTACTTCCCGTTTCATAACTTTCCTTCTACCTTACCTCTTCTCTCCCTTCCCATGGCAAGCCATTGACATTTTATCTCCATTATCATCATCATCATCGGGAGACCATTCTACTCTGACCTGCAGGACCAGCAAGATCTCTCTCCAGCTCCTCACCACCCAGCTTCCTCAGAGAGCTCCTCGCCCTACAGGACCTCTGAGCAAACTACACCTCACTTAGTTACTCCTTAGCACTACTCTGTACAACAATATATATACAGAAAACGCATCGTGAGTTTCTATTCTACCTCATTCCTGAGTGTGAGATATCTACATGTACGCACGTTGTGTGGCCATACAAAGAGATAATAGACATCTAAAGATAATTGACTACTGGCCACAATAAAGTACGCTACAGACATTCTATTCCACATCTTCGGCAATTTCTTAAAATATGACTTAGTATTCATATTCACGAAAGAGGACACCTCGTTATATTGATAAAAATTATGATTAATTTAAAAAATATCACATTACAAAGAAACAAGCAAAATATGTTGAGTTGTCCGGAAACGTGAAGCAGAGCGAGCTGGTTTACTTAGAAGAAACGATGTGATAACACTTTTGTTGTTAGTTGTATCACCCAACAGACCTCCGAGTTCAGGCCACCATTTATTAATTTTTTTTTATCCTCTTCACCACTGATCGGCTCGTTAGCCTGTAGTGGATTCCTCCCCTACAAACGCCGTGTGTCGCTGACTAGCCGACCCCCGCAGTCTCTCAGTGTATCCCTCTTGGTCAAGGTCAGGTAACCAGCGCCCTCAAACAAAGCGGAGGTCTACAATCAAGCCACGCCTTCCCCCGCTATATAAGACCACACCTGGCCGTGACCTGCCCCTTCTTCTAGCTACAGCCGCAGCAAGCAACACCTCCTCTGAGCACCCTCACCAACCAGCTCTCCCTACTCACGCTTGTAACCACGCTCCCTCCTCCCAGCACCAGTCACCAAGCTGCATTGTACATCCAATATAATATGTATACAGAGAGCACATTGTGAGTTTCCTTTCTCCATCCCATCCTGAGTGTGAACCAACATCTCGTACCCCACAAATGGCGACCCCCGGAGTGACCACTCACACAGGATGGAGGAGAAACTGATCACGCTCCCAGTCTTCAAGCAGCATGGAAGACTGGCTTATCCACCCAGAAGCAGCTCTCATCGGCTCTACAGCTACTGTCTCTACACCGCAGGTTAGACACCCTAGAGCAGCTCTGCTTCTCTAAGCAGACACCAGCTCCTCTTCCTGCCCCAAGCACCACGTCCTACCTACCCCAACACACCGTCCTTCCTCAGACACCGCCCCCGGCCCAGCAGTAGCCCCTGCCACTGTCCTGGACCCTCCTCCGCTCCTGCCTGGCAGCCCCTATTACCGACGCGGCCCATGCGCCTGAGCGGCCCCACACACCCTTTTTTTTCTCCCTAAGGTACTCCCTGCTACTGTCCTTCGCCCTGCTGCTGTCGTGGACCCTGCTGCTGTCATGCACCCTGCTGCTGTCATGGACCCTCTTACTGACGCAGCCCCTGCTACTGACCCAGACCCACACACCCGAGCAGGCGCATCTAAGGACTCTGTACTTGCCGCGAGGGAAGCACAACATTCATAGCCTCCACAACCCTCCTTCTCCCTCTCTTCTCCCACAGATCTCGTGTATCTAGACAGTTGTCTCCCCTAGCGGTCGGCTCATCCACGCCCTCGCCGTTATGTCTCACATGTGGGATGCAACGCTGCAGACAACAAATCTCCTACACCACCTGGAGGGAAGGGGGAGTATTGTAGTGGATTCCTCCCCAACAAACGCCGTTTGTCGCTGACTAGCCGATCCTCGAATTCCCCAGTGTATGCCTCGTCGTCTAGGTCGGCAACCAGCGCCGCCTAACAATGACTGAGGTCAACTATTAAGCCACGCCTACCCCCGCTATATAAGACCTCACCTCGTGGTGACCTACCTCTCTTTCTACCTACAGCCAGTCTTCAAGTAGCACCACCTCCACCGCTCCTGTCTGGCGGCCCTCGCTCCCGCCGACGAGCATGGCAACCCACAAGCTGGTCCTCCTCTGAGCACCCTCACCAACCAGCTCTCCCTACTCACGCTTGTAACCACGCTGCCTCCTCCCAGCACCAGCCACCAAGCTGCATTGTACATCCAATATAATGTGTATAGAGAGCACATTGTGAGTTTCCCTTCTCCATCCCATCCTGAGTGTGAACCAATATCTCATAACCCCACAAGCCGCTTGGGCGATCGGTCACGTATCTTATTACTTTTCCTTTTCTTTTATCCTCTTCACCAAAAGATCGGCTCGTTAGCCGCTTGGGCGCCCGGTCACGTCTCTGTTACGCACTGTTGGCAAGTACTGGGCATGCACCGGCTCCTGAATGTATCTGAACCTGCTCCAGTGTTGGTCAAGTCTTGTCTTGAAATAGCTCACACTCGGTGCCGTCACAACACTTTCTGGTAGATTGTTCCAAAAGCTCACAACTCTCACTCTGAAAAGTTTGCCCTCACAGTTTTCTGGACTTGCGGCTTCTTCAATCTTGAGCTGTGACCCCTTGTGGGGCGAGCGTCCACCAGCTCCAAGTAAGGACATGCGAATGAGTAGTGCCCCTTGAGATGCTTATACACCTCAATTAGGTCACCCCTTGCCCGTCAGTAGTATAAGCTAGGCAAGTTCAGGCGCTCCAATCTCTCAGGGTAGCTGAGGTGCCGAAGTGCAGGCACCAGTCTTGTGGCCCTCTTTTGAACATTTTCAACCAACTGACAGTCCCTAGCATATCTCGGGGACCAGACGGGGTAACAGTACTCCAGATGGGGAAGCAATTCACTCTTGAAGATCGTTACGAGGGACGGACCGTCTAGATATCTGAACGATCTTCTCATAAGACCCAATAATTTATTTGCCTGATTTATCTTCTTCTCTCAATGGCCCGAGAACTTCAGCTAATTTTCCACATACACACTTAGGTCCTTCTCACATTCAGTCTCAAATAGTGCAGTTTCTTCATCCCGTTGGGACATATGATACGCCTCCTTACCGTTAGTACGCCCCAGGTGCATCCTCTTACACTTCGTGACATTGAATCTCAGCAGCCATTTCTTCGACCATTCTTGGAGCTCACGGAGGTCCTTCTGCAGCTCTTCACAGTCCGCTTGGATCTTGATTTCCCGAAATAACTTGGCGTCGTCGGCAAACATTTGTATGGAGGAGTGTACAACGTCAGGCATGTCATTTA